TATTCTCCTATCATCATCTATTACACACCCACCCAGCAGTCAGTCAACACTCTGTGACCCTCAGGGTCCCATCCAACTCTGCAATTCTAGGATTAAGGAATCTTGATGACTGAACCAGATTGATTGACCACTGAGAATGCTCACTCCAGTCATCGGGCTCCTGTTTAGCCATGGCCTCTTCTCCAACACTCCATTCCGTCCTACACTCCCTTATTACAGTTTTCCATTCCCAGCTCTCTACTCAACAGCCGGTCAACATGCCACTGAGCATGTCTGTTTGGAATCCTAACCATCCTTCCAAAAAACTGAGCCCAAATGAGCAAAATGAGATCAGCAGAGTACCATCCTAAACTTGGAAGCTAAGACAAGGTTGATTTAGCCTTATAGGAACAATAATCCAGGTTGCTTTAAGGCAGATGGGATTTTCCTACTATTACCCCTTTTCTACCCGTTTAAAACAACAACCACACAGACATTGTTTTGTGAAGAAATAAAAGTAGGATTTACTTACATAATATAGGTCTTGAAGGAGCAATTACAGTAGCAAAATGAAGGCAGGTTTATAACTACTATCCAAGCTCCAGAAGTGCAGAATTTAAGTTCAAAAATGATATCTGAGCTGCATAGCACAGACATGCACATGTGGTCAGTTTGGAAGCATGATGAAGAAGGAAGAGGCTGCCCTGGCAGGAAGGAAGTATGTTGTGTTACAGCTTCCTGCCAAGGCAGACAAAGGGAGTGACCTCACAGAGTTCTCTCTAGCAAATTTTGTAGGAAAGCTCTGTGAGCCTCAGCCCCTTTACATTGCTTGCCTGGCAAAACATGAATTGTTGGTCTGACTGCAATAATGCCCCACAAAATGCATCTTTACATTTGAGGCACAGGTGTTTTAAAAATGTGATTTCCATCTGTGGAGTAGGGATAATTGTTGGGGATTCTGCCAAGGTCCTAAGGTGGCGTAGGGAACATATTTCAGCCAAAGGCCTACTTAGAGATAAGCTCCAATAGGAAGATAAACAAATAGCTTCCATGTTAAAAGTCACATCTCAAACATGAAGTTGGGAGTTCAAAATGGAACCTGAGAGACTTGGGGGCGAGTTGCCCAGCCAGCCAGGAACTACCAAAACCCTTTGTACAAGCCAACCTTTCCTTCCTTAGCATTGCACCAATTCTGCTGAATTCCAGTTGATGAGCTGGACGTGTTAAGAAGAAAACAACCATCAAAACCATCTCCGAATTGAATCATGCTAGTGCTTGATTTCCTCTTCTCAAGCATCGTCTACCTGAGCGTGACTTCACAGGAAGAAAAGATTTTGCCACTGTCCCTTCTGGTGCCACTCAGCCTAGGGAAAAAAAGGGGCAGATATTTTGCTGGGATCCCAAATCTATGACATTTCCACTTGAAACATATTTTGTATGATTATCTTAAGGCTGGGTCTTCACACACTCAACCCAAGCAAATTTCGTCATATCACTGGTTACAAACAAAACAAAATAAAACCAGAAGCCAGCTATATAATCCCGGGTTAAGAAGGACCCCCACATCACTTTCCCAATTAAATTGTTTGTAAGACATAACTACTTCAAGTTCCTGGTCCTCAAGAACTGGGCCTGCACTGGCAAAACCATAGAAAATACTGGTTGATCTGTCTGATAATCTCATTACATGCTCTGTACTAGAATTACCCCGAAGTCCCACTCACAGGCAATTGTGGGATTCCCTCTACTTGCATGGCTGCATACATGCTGATATCAGGTTTTTTTCTGTAGATGTGGGAATTTTTCAAGTGCTCTAGAGCACTTTGGTGACAGGTTTATGTCCAGAGAAACATAACTTTAGGACAGAGGGTGGGGGGGCTTTGCTCAACCCAAGACGCCACATTCCTATCTGGGCAAGAAGAAGAAGAAGAGTTTGGATTTGATATCCCGCTTTATCACTACCCGAAGGAGCCTCAAAGCGGCTAACATTCTCCTTTCCCTTCCTCCCCCACAACAAACACTCTGTGAGGTGAGTGGGGCTGAGAGACTTCAGAGAAGTGTGACTGGCCCAAGGTCACCCAGCAGCTGCATGTGGAAGAGCAGAGACACGAACCCGGTTCCCCAGATTACGAGTCTATCGCTCTTAACCACTACACCACACTGGCTTAACCACTACACAACCTTGCAGAGGCCACATGGCAGTAGTGGGTGGGGCCAGAGGCAAAAGTGGGTGGAGCTATAAATATAAATTTTATCTTTGCACAATTGTCTGGTTTCTACAAACACACCCAAGCACTCCTCTCTGTCCTCTGGCCAGGCAGACAAGAGACACCATCGGAGTTGAAGGGTACAGTGCAGCCAGGCAAAAAAAATACAAAACAAGGAGGGTGTGAAGCAGATGTCATAAACTGGCAGAATGACAGGGAGGAGGACAGGGATCCCAGTGAGGGAAGGAGCTAGGACTGGGACACACCAAGACAGGCAGGGAATGGGGAAGGAGTGGTTAGTGTTGGCAGTACTACTACTACTATTACTACGACTAGTACTACTACTAATTTATTATTTAAACCCCGCCCATCTGGCTGAGTTTCCCCAGCCACTCTGGGCGACTTCCAATCGAGTGTTAAAAACAATACAGCATTAAATATTAAAAACTTCCCTAAACAGGGCTGCCTTCAGATGTCTTTTAAAGATAGGATAGCTGCTTATTTCCTTCACATCTGAAGGGAGGGCGTTCCACAGGGCGGGCGCCACCACCGAGAAGGCCCTCTGCCTGGTTCCCTGTAACCTCACTTCTTGCAGTGAGGGAACCACCAGAAGGCCCTCGGCACTGGATCTCAGTGTCTGGGCTGAACGATGGGAGTGGAGACTCTCCTTCAGGTATACAGGACCATGGCCATTTAGGGGTGATGGAGGATGGCGAGGGGATTGGGGTCAGTGCACAGGAACCAGAGCAGCAGGACCCATCAGCAGAGCCAGAGGTGCTCCTGTCTCCCTGAACACGGTGCGCTCTGAGGCGTAGGGAGCAGCAGGAGGTACACTCCAAAAGGTAGACAAAGGCTCACAGCCCAGCTCCCTAGCTGGACAGGTGGGCTTGCTACACTAGTGGTCAAAATTGTGGAAACCTTTTGGGAAAAGTGTATTTCTGAGATTTGATGGCTCATGACACCACTTTTTTTTTTTTTAATAATACCATAAATTTATATATCAATGGAAAGATAATTTAATGAAGAATGTAATGCAACAAAAATTGTTCAATTACCTGTAGTCTATCAAAAGTTATAGCCAAATAACCAGAAAAAGGAAGCACAACTTGCTTAGGTTGATATGCAGGAGTTTCCCTTCATTTGAATGTAGCCAATGAGCAGGAGTGTTAGAGAGCCAGTCATCAAACCTCAGAAATACACTTTTCCCAAAAGGTTTCCACAATTTTGGCCACTAGTGTAGCTCTGGGAGGAAGGGTGTGATTCCTCAGCTGGACTGGATCTAGACACATTGAAAAGGCATCTCAGGAAAACACGTTGTCAACTTCATCATGGGAAATCACGTCGGTGAAAGACGGGACTCCACAGCGCCATCTGGTGTCATGGTGTTATAACGCATAGAAAACGCTTTTTCTTTACTAATGTAGCTGAGTCCCTGGAACAGGCGAGGGTCACACGCCTCACCAAGCCGCGATGCTGCAGTCAGCATGCAAAATATAAAAGGGCAGCAAAGCTAAGGTTGGACCATGGCTAGGATGTTCCAGGAAGCTCTTCAAGACTGACCTCTGGGTGCCCTGATCCCAGCCACTCTGGGCGGCTTCCAACCAAATATTAAAATACAGTAATACATCAAACATTAAAAGCTTCCCTAAACAGGGCTGCCTTCAGACGTCTTCTCGGTTTCAGGCCGAGGGAGCCGGCGTTTGTCCACAGACAGCTTTCTGGGTCATGTGGCCAGCAGGACTAAACCGCTTCTGGTGCAATGGAACACCACGATGGAAACCAGAGCACACAGAAATGCCATTTACCTTCCTGCCGAAGCGGTACCTATTTATCTACTTGCACTGGTGTGCTTTCGAACTGCTAGGTTGGCAGGAGCTGGGACAGAGCAATGGGAGCTCACCCCGTCGCAGGGATTCGAACCGCCCACCTTCCACTCGGCAAGCCCAAGAGGCTCGGTGGTTTAGACCACAGCAGTGTCACAGATATAGGATACATTTGAGACAGGACAAGCACAGAGAATGGCTGGTGTGTGTATCCACATCGATTCGCGTCCAGGGAGAAGTGTGTCCTGGAGAGAGTTCTGAGGGCTCAGAAAAGTCCTGAGGAACCCACCCTAAACTGCTGTTGATGCTGACGAGTAGTGAATCTCCAGAGTTTCGGGCAGCGAACATTCCCAACCTGCCTGGAGATGCCAGGGATTGAATCTGCAACCTTCGGCAAGCAGGGCAGATGCTCTCCCAACTGGGCTGCACTCCTTCCCCAAGAAGGCAGGAAAACCCCATACCACATGCCAGAGGCTCCAGTGAATTTCAGAACCAGCCCAGTACCCAGAAGTTCGATTTATCAGCCTGGTTTATCAGCCTGTCAACAATGAATCCTGCGCATTGTCCTTCCCTCCCTGCATTTATTAATGTGCTAAGGAACCATTAAGTTCTGCAAGGGACAAAATGCTAGATGGCAGTGATGATGCGAATTTATAAAGCACTTAATGTAGTGTTGCTTTGGGAATATAGGGGAAGAAGCTCAGATTGTATAGCAACATCTCCCCCATGTGGTGGAAAGAAATGAAAAGTAAGAAACCACCTAGATGCCTTTTCTTTCTTTACTGTTACAGCCGGCTTGAGTTACTGGGGTTTTAATTAAAATCCCACAACCTACCAAGCGCTTCTTATAGAATAGGTGGGGTACCATTTTTCAGTTTCTGGGGCTCGTATCTTTCTTTCCATCCTCCAAGGTATACAAAGAAATCATAGAATTGTAGAGTTGGAAGGGGCCACAAGCGACATCTGGCCCAACACCCAGCACTGCAGGAATCTTTCACCCAATGTGGGTTTCAAACCCATGACCCAGGGATTAAGAGTCTCGTGCTCAACCAACTGAGCTATCCCACCCTTTTGGTGGGCTGCAAGAACAAGTAATTAATAAATGAATAAAATTTCTAAGGCATTTGCAGAGGGCCTTCTCAGTAGTGGTGCCCGCCCTGTGGAATGCCCTCTCACCAGATGTCAAGGAATAATAATAATAATAATAATAATAATAATAATAATAATAATTTATTATTTATACCCCACCCATCTGGCTAATTTTCCCCAGCCACTCTGGGCGGCTTCCAATCAAGTGTTAAAAACAATACAGCATTAAATATTAAAAACTTCCCTAAACAGGGCTCCCTTCAGATGTCTTTTAAAGAGAAGATAGCTGCTTATTTCCTTGACACCTGATGGGAGGGTGTTCCACAGGGTGGGCGCCACCACCAAGAAGGCCCTCTGCCTGGTTCCCTGTAACCTCACTTCTCGCAATGAGGGAACCGCCAGAAGGCCCTCAGCGCTGGATCTCAGCTGACTTTTAGAAGACATCTGAAGGCAGCCCTGTTTAGGGAAGTTTTTAATGTTTGATTGTGTTTTTAATATTCTGTTGGGAGCTGTCCAGAGTGGCTGGGGAAACCCAGCCAGATGGGCGGGGTATAAATACTGTATTTTTCCTTGTATAAGACTCTCCCATGTATAAGAAGCCCCCTATTTTGGGGGGACTCAATTTTAAGAAAACGAGGGAAGATGGCTCAGAGTTGTTGAGGGTTTTTTTGGGGGGGGGGATTGCCGGAAATCGCTCACCTGCAGCACCGACGCCACAGCAACAGCCGATCACCAGCAGACCCTTCCCAAGCAGAAAATCACTAACCTGACTGAGAAAAGCTGTCCGCTGACTGTTGCGCTTTTCCCAGAACAGCAGCCACCAATTGCGGCAGCGGCAACCAATCCACAGCATTCCTTGCTGCAGAAACCAACCACCAACCCAATTAGAGCAGCAGCAGCCAATCCAAAGCAGCCTTTCTAGCAGCCAACCATCAGTCACCAAATCTCCTGCTCACGGCTGCAGCCAATCACCTGTCCCCCCATTCACTATCCATGTATAAGATGAGGCACGTTTTTTGAACGTTATTTTAGAGTAAGAAAACCTCGTCTTATACACAGAAAAATACGGTAATAAATGATGATGGTGATGATGATGATGGAGGTGTACAAGGTTGCTTGTGCCCAACAACTACCTGACTGGAAGGGCATATGCCCAGAGCAATATAAGGCTGTAGAGAAATGCTGAGAGCATCCTCTATGGGACCAGGAGATTTGGGCTCAAGGGAGCCCGTTGTTTCATTGCCTGATTTCTCATGGTACGCTAGCAGGGTTTGCTCAGCACAGGGTGCAACAGGAGCTGGCCTGGCATGATCCAGTCCCATTCCCATAAAAATCAAGCACTCTTCCTTTCCTTAGGAACCACTTATTTGACCGTCTTACCCTTGTGCTGACTCTTTTCCTTCACCACAGATTTGGTCCCCAGAAACTCTTGTGCTGAGCCAGTTTCGTGGCCTGCGGTGATGACGTCTGTTGACATCAGATTTCTGCCAGTTTGCATGGAACATGACAAGAGAGAGGCAACTGGATAGCTAATGTTCACTGAAGACAAGAATATTTTCCCGTCCTCCCTGGTTGCGGTTTTCTCAAGATATTTCAAAGGTTTAAAATGAACATACAAGTACCAAAACTTTGTTTGCTTTCAGAGAATAAAATCTGCACCTTAAGGGAAGGCTGTTTGATGTCTTCTCTGGGAAAATTGATAAACAAGTGGGGGAAATGCTTATCAAATGACAACTAGTACAAAATTGAGGGGTTGTACCCCTTGTACAGGGACGCGGGTGGCGCTGTGGATTAAACCACAGAGCCTAGGACTTGCTGATCAGAAGGTCAGCAGTTTGTATCCCTGCAACGGGGTGAGCTCCCGTTCCTCAGTCCCAGCTCCTGCCAACCTAGCAGTTTGAAAGCACGTCAAAAGTGCAAGTAGATAAATAGGTAACGCTCCGGCAGGAAGGTAAACGGCATTTCCGTGCACTGCTCTGATTCGCCAGAAGCGGCTTAGTCATGCTGGCCACATGACCAGGAAGCTGTACGCCGGCTCCCTCGGCCAGTAAAGCGAGATGAGCGCCGCAACCCCAGAGCCATCTGTGACTGGACTTAATTGTCAGGGGTCCCTTTACCCCTTGTACAGGCAAAGGGTCTCCTCGGCTGTGGCGCCCGCCCTGTCGAACGCCCTCCCATCAGATGTCAAGGAAATAAACAACTATCTGACTTTTAGAAGACATCTGAAGGCAGCCCTGTTTAGGGAAGTTTTAAATATTTGATGTTTTTAATATTCTGTTGGGAGCCACCCAGAGTGGCTGGGGAAACCCAGGCAGATGAGCAATATTATAATAAATATTATTAAGAGATGGCTCTCCCAACGCTCTGGAATCGTAGAACTGTAGAGCTGGAAGGGACCATGAAGGTACAACCCCCTGCAATGCAGGAATCACAGCTAAATAATTCCTGACATGTGGCCATCCAACTTTTGCAGTTTTGTAGTTTAACGAAGCCACATGGAGGGGTTGCAGTGCCAAGGGAGGGGCATAACTCCACTGGCAGATTATATGTAGGCCGCAAATTGCTTCTCCTATTCGCTACCTATCCAAAGTTAATTCTTCCCCAGTCCAGCCAGAGAGGAGTGACTGAAAAGCACTGCTGTCTCCACTGACACATAATTTACAGTCACAGCAGCAGAAACACCAGGGATGGGGGATTGGAGCATCCTTACCTGGTGCTCAGGGGTAGAGCAGTGTCCTTCAGCTTTGGAGCCCCAGATACTGCTGGACTCCAATTCCCATCATCCCTGGAAACGGGCTAAGCTGGCTGGGGAAGATGGGAGTCTTAAAACCAGAAATATCTACAGGCTCAAGGTTGTAGAACACCAGTCTACAATATCAGCCCACTGGCCACACCATTTTCCCTGGTTCTCTCTGCAGGCAAAACCACCATAAATGAACTATGAAGTGATCCTTCGAATTTCCACGGACTTGGACAGATCAGCACACACGTTTCTGCAGCCCAAATGGCCAAGGAGGAGCCTAGCAGCTACTGGAAAAGCACTCCCCGGCCCAGCCTTATCTACCTCCAGTTGCCTCAAAACGGCAAGGGAAAAGAATCTGGAGGAAACAATGTCTCCCCGGCTTACGAATGATGACATTTTGATTGCTTGCTCTGGATTCAGCATTCATCACTCATCTTTCCTCATCACAGCTAGACTAACACTCCCTTAGGATCTCATTAGACATTGCTGCTGAAATTTAGCACCACGAAATGTTTGCAAGATGAACTTTCAATCCACCTGGCACGCTACCCGTCTCCTCTTTTATTTCCCTCCTCCCACATATTTTCATCGCCATTGATTCTGAAGCAGTTGTGTAAGATCCAGGGATCTGCGAGATCTTGGTACTCAAGCGCTTGGGAGCATGAATGGTGGAGCTTTTACACTTTGAAGCTATCTCAGTGGTCTCCACTCCTCCCCCCATTAACTTACATCAAAGGTCTACTGAGTGACATACAGCAGGGGTGGGGGAACTTTTTGAGTGCCACATCGCCTTCTGGAGAACCTTTCAGGGGTCACATGGCAGTGGGAGGCAGGGCAAAAGTAGGCAGAGCAACTGATGTAAATGTTTTACCTTTTTATAGTAGGCTAGTTTCTGCTCATATGTCCACACCCATGTCTATCCTCCCTGGGTATAGGGTGGGAACCAAAGGAGGATAAATTACCACCCCACACTCCGTAGAAGCTCTCACTTGTGGCTCCTGGAATCTAACAACATGAGACAGCAGCCACACTCTGGGAATGGCTTCAACTGGCTGGCTAAACCAAGAGACGGTAGTTGATGGGTCTTAAACTGCCAGGGACTGTGTTGGGGAGGGCTGCACAGATGAGGAATGGTGCCCCTGCTCCTGATCTGGATCCTGAATCTTCCCAGGAGCAGTGGGACAGTGGTTCGCAGAGGGGCACAGTTCAGAAGACAATAGTTGGGAAGAACTGGGTGGTGAGGAGCTAGGAGATGAAGAACTGGGAGAGAGAGAGTTAACAGACACTCTCTCGCTGGAAAACCTACATCTGCCCAGCCCAAGGTCACGACAAGCAAATAAGGTGGCAGCACAGAAAGCAAAGTGGTTGCGAGATCAAGTTGCAAGATGAGGAAGTGACTCGGGGGGGAGTGGGTGTAAACCTTAATTGGGAGCACCTTTACTCCAAGAATGGACTCTTTGTTCTTTCCCTGTGATCATTAAAATCTCTTTAAATGGTAAGAGACAATTTTTGCTTTTTTCTGCTTATCCAAGGCCAAAGGGAAGGAGGAAGCCGCTTCCCCAAAGCCTGACATAAACCCTCAGTGAGTTAGGGACTTCCCCTGCATGCGAAGACAAGCTCCCACAGATTGAGTGGACAAGACAAAGAGTGAGTCCAACAGTCAAGAAGGAGGCTTCTGCCCGTGCTGTAGAGGGAAGTGAGGGGCAGATGGGGCTCATCAACCTGGGAAGGAAGAAGGAAAACTCTGATCCTAAACATCTGCTTCCTTGTGGGACATCTTTGGGAGAAGAAAAGGCTAAGGAGGAAACCCCCCACAAACCCAGAGTGGAGCCCCTAATGGATGGAGCCTTGTACTCCTCCTTCCGGCAACTCCTGCAGCCAAGCTCTGGGAGATCATAGAATCATAGAATCATAGAGTTGGAAGAGACCACAAGGACCATCGAGTCCAACCCCCTGCCAAGCAGGAATGAGTTTTGGGAAGCAAGATGGCCCAAAAAAGTTTGGGAACCACTGGACTAGACAGACCTTTGCATGCTTACAGAGGAGGCTGCCACCCCGGGCCATTCCTTCAGACCCAACGCAGGGACTTGAGTACTCACTGGCACAGGGGGACCTGCCTTATACCAAGCCACCAAAGTGCAAGTGCTGTTAGTAATTTCATTCTCTCATTGCTGCTGGATCTTGTGATCCACTGTTTACATTCCATAGTGATAGGAATGTGGGAACGGAACTCA